AATGGTCGTTGTCGTCAGTATGATAAAAATTGGTAAATATTACTGTATATTGTTTCCATTTCTCAGAGTGTAACTCTACCGAAAGGTGAATAATACAAGGTGAAAAGGAAAAAGAAGTGCTATACATGATCATGTGATATATTTGCATACTAAACTGATCCTTATTTTTTTCAATTAAAAATATATATCATGTGTACACGGCGACATGCTTGCATTACAAGCGCATTTCTTGATTGAATTTCAAGATCAAAAATTCTGATTACTGCCGCTGATTTTACCTAGACTACCATCGGAGAAGGTAATAGTTTGCTCTAGTCTATTCATCCATTTGGCAGGGTGCCAAGTAATTTGCTGCATTTCCGGTGCGCAATCAATCAAATTCAACCTTTCTCTGCTTTCTTTATAGTTCTCGCCTTAATTTGTTCTACTTCCATCATCCAACTTTTTCTCAAAATTAATTTGGTTGGAAACAATATTGGACCACAAAAGTACAAATGTCAATAAAAACAGAAATATTGCATTTAATCTAACACGGCACGCAGCTACGCATTCCCGCAAACAACGAAAATCACCTGTCTGTGTTGAAGCATATCTACCTGTGTTTTTGCAGTTTTCTGCTCTGGAAATTCTCTTTGCCTCTGCCATTTTACTTTATACACTCTTGTTTCCAAGTCTCTTCATATATCTGTAACTCTTTTTCTTGATAATTCTGTCCAACGTAGAAAATGCAAAAGCAACTCATTTTGGCCATCGTTTTGAAGACAAAACTTATGATTCAATTTGATCTTACCAGTTAAGCACGATAATTGAAAAAAACATTGATAGATACAGCGATAATCTAAGCAACATTATGCAAAACACAAACTCTGCAGAGTTTTTCAAGCTTTAAAAATGGAAGTATAGAATGGTGATAGACAAATGAGTTGAAGTATTAATCTGGTGCTTGACCTCTATTTTCAGGTAAAAATAAATTTTTAAAATTTATTTGGAAAGAGAAACCTTCTTGCTTCTTAGTTTGTTTGAGAACCTGTGACATTTGTTGATCATCCGCTTTTACAAAAAAATCCTTATTTAACCATTCAGCCACGTCAATCCTATAAAAGCTGAGTTCGATTTGAAAGAGCAACCGTGAATTTATTTAAAAAAGACTCAATCAAGTTTTGCTTTTTGCTCACAATTCGTCAATCAATCAATAATTTGTTTTCACTTTAGAGAAATATTGATTACTTTAAAATTTATATTTTAAATCTGATTCGCTGTGAAATACACTCATCAATTTTTTAATTTTTGGAATACCCATTTTTTTCCTCTATATGACCCTTAAGAACGTTTCAGTACACTTGTAACTAACTTGGAGACCTTATATCAACTTTGCATCATCATTACCCACAATTAAACTTATAAATTGCCTCAAGAGAGTACGTTGCTGTCAATTTGACATGT